GAACTTATGAGATGTGAAGAGCTCAAATAAGAGTTAGAGTAAGTATTTCAAGTTATTATGAATTAGAGTATACCTTCACTAAAAAAACGGGTTACGGCAATGTGTCATTCTGTTAGTAATTAAAAAGTGTGAGTGGTCAATATACATATAGAAGAGGCAGAGTATTCATAATGGGATAGATTAATTTAGGCTTATGAATTTTGAAAGGAGAACATCATGGTATTCAGAAAATGATAGAGTTACTGGGAGATAAGACACATTAAGTGAGTAGGTAGCACTTAAGTTGTGAAATAAAATGTGATGGTAGTTAGAGTATGCACACCGAGAGCTGGTAAGGATTGACTAATTATCATGAAGTCCTAATGGGGAAGTGTTTCCAAATTTCCATAGTAGTAATGAAGTATGTATAGTAAAGAAATCATATTGATATTCGGGTTTAGTAATAAACATTAAGATTGAATTTGAGATGAGTTTCATGATTAAGAGAATGACAACATGAGGGTAATAAAGTCAGTCTGGTATTTAAGTGGAAGATGATAAGGTGCGGTCCAATTATCCGTCAAGTTTCAAAATGTGTGCCAATGCCCTCGGGGAATTCTTGGTTATCAAAATTAAACAATGAAAAACATAAACACTTGTTCTGATATCTTGTGGCACAAATTTAATTATAGTGTTATTAATCATGGTTTGTCAATATACAGTGTAATTTGTTTCAAATCCTATCCACCACTAGACTACTAAAAATATTGGCAGGAATGAGTATGCTATTTGTCATCATAGTGTAATATCTTTGTCTATGTAAAGTAGATGTTAACAAGTGAATGCCAAAGATAATCACTAGTCTAGCGTTATCATTTTTCTTTGGTCATTCTTATATTTTGATAAAAGCTCTTTGGTCATTACTGCTACATTAGGATTGCAAGAAAGTTTTCTATGAGTGGAATGGGAAATGTTGGACATGCCATGGAATGGGATTTGCAAGTCACTACAAGAAACGAGGGAAGGAGACCATCTGCAAATGCATACCTTGCCTTGGAATCGGTACATGGACCTTACACTTATTTCATGTGGGTATTATGTATTCATGATCATTATTTGCCTTCTTTGTTCTTCTATACTTTGAAAAGTATAGAATGCATACTCATTAATTGAAAGCTTCTTTGTATATAGTAGTATACAGTAATCTTTATATTATTATGAAGTATATATTGTGAAGAGTATCTCAATACTAACTTCATGTCTATAAAAGCATATGTATTGAAATGATGCTACCTTACCATGTCTGAATATAATAACAATCATGTCTCAATTCCAAGCAAGTTGGGGGTGACTACAATTGCATATCTAGAAATTTGTTCAAGAGTATTGAAATTTTATAAAAGTCGATAAAGAATGTTGATGATTGGGTGCCCAAAATTTCTTAATCAAACTAAGAAGTATTTATCTAAACCATAAAAATAGTGTAATAGTTACTTACCATGATTGGTCAATATAAAGTCTAATCAGTTTCAAATTTTATCCACCACTAGACTACTAATAAAATACTCAGGAATGAGTATGATTTTTGTTATCCCAGTGTAATATCTTTGTCTACGCAAAGAAGATGTTTACAAGAGAACACTAAAGATATTCACTGGTCAAGGTTTGTCATTTATCTTTGGTAATTCTTATTTTTTGATGAAAGCCCTTTGGTCATTATTGCTACTTTAGGATTGCAAGGAAGTCGTCTATGGGTGGACTTGTAAATGGCTAATCGCATGGCTACTAAATTCTCCATGTGTAATAATAACTAATATCCCTTCTTATTTTTCTTTGTGAAATGCTTATCATAACATCTTCCCGCATCTATAGAAGTCTTTGTATAATTGTTACCCACATTGACCTATAAAGTCTCTTAATCTAATTGTTTATAGTCTTACTTCTCTTTTTTATCCCACTATTACCTTCCTTTTAAGTTCATATCTACCTAACGGGAGAAAACTTGAACATTATTTAAGAGACTTATGTTTGGCTATAAATGTTCCCTTCGACCAGAATCTTAAGGGTAATAATAATGCTTATATTAGTCTACTTCACATTGAAAACTCAAATATACTATCGAGATACACATGAAAAATCATTAACTTAATTAGAATTTTATGTCACTAAATAAAATCACGAATACATATTTTAATGCACTTGTTAGTATAATAAGTAAGACCTTTATTACTTTCATATAAGAGTCATAATACCACACTCATACTACTCACATTTATTGCAAAGTAACATCTTAATTTCTTAACTAGTTTAAGACTTAGGGTATTTTTGTTTTGTTTCTTTTTTGGGTTTAGAATTTACGATTTAGAGTTTTATAGGGTTTAAAGCTTAGAGTTTTTTAGCTTCAAGCGTTTTTAGGATTTGTAAGGATTAGTGTTTCTTAGGTTTTTTATGGTTTACGGTTTAGGACATAGGATTTTTTGTGTGTTTAGGTTTCGAGTTTACCGATTGTTAGAATTCAGGGTTTAGAACCTTCTATTATTTAGGGTTTAGCATATATTATATAGGTGTTTATTGGGTTTAGAACTTAGAGTTTTTTAGAACAAGACGACAAGGTGTAAAAATATGTCTTTTTTAAATATTCAACTTTCATTAGTATAAAGACCAAGACCTAATGATTATATTAATTAACAATAAATGATGAATAATATGAAAACTAAAAGTGGACAAAATCTATAATATAAGGACTAAAAATTATTTAAACATACTCACTTACCATAGTAATTTCTATATAATACCCCCAAAAGGGTTAATTCTGACTCCAACAAATTTAAGCTTCTCTATAGAAAATTAGTAACTTTATCTCGTTTTCTGAAATTTCTGAAGGGGTAAAAATTCAACGGACATGTGACACTATTATTGATGAAGTTCCGGTGGTGGTAGTTGATCACGAAACAAAGAATGTTGGTAAAATGGTGGATCTATTGAAGTCTTATGACTACAAAGGTGACATCTCTAAAAATATCTATTCAACTAAAACTCTTTGATTCTTTTATATGAAAAAATTCAGTTTAATTACCTTTTGAAAAGAGATTTAATTGATATTATGCTTGTTGTGATTGTAACATCAATTCCTTTTTGTATTTTAGTTTCTATCCAGTAAATCTTGAATTCATATGTTATAACAACATTTGTATACATTTTTATATTGTTTTAAGTATAAATAAATGTTTTTATGTGTTTATAGAAGAAGCAAATTAGACTGTTTAGTATTTGTTCTTACTAAAGGCATAGAAGAAGCAAATTAGATTTTTTAGTCTTTGTTCTTGTTAAAGGCATGTTATACACTCAATAGCCTTCCTCCATGAATATGTCTATGATTGTTCGGTGGGGGGGGGGGTGATTTGATAATCTTATGTAAATATTTTTCTATTTCCAATTTTATTAGATATTCTAGAAGTGCCACAATTTTATGTTTAAGTCTAATTATTTAATCGAATTATGTATACATTTTTTACATTTGAGTTTTTTAAAGAACAATGTGTAATTTGTTCTTCAATAATTGATCATGTGGACTAAAATAATAAGGGAAGATTAATAAAATTCACCAAAATTTTTTTTTTGTTGAAGATTTAAATATTTAAATTATACAAATCTATCTGTCACTTTTAAAACATAATAGGAGTAACAAAGAGGGAAGATAAAGAGCAACATCAGAAGGGATCTGATAAGTTACCTTTAAAAAACTTTTTATATTTATTTATTATATGTAGAAAAAAATAAGCATTTTTTTTATTTCATTCTTTAATTTGATAAGGGTCAAAATTACCTGAGAACTATTCAAATGCAGCAAAAATATCTTTCGTTTGTTGAGTGTATTGAGGTTTTGTGTAGTTTCAGGTGAAAAAATTGTGTATTTGAGCATTGTTTATGAAATTTGTTTGAATATATAAAGGGAAAATTTGATTGAATTGTGGGTGTACTATTTGTCTTAGGACTGAAAGGACAAGGAATATGGTCTTATATTTGCTCGTTAATTTCAGCAAGGGTTGGTGTGGATTTTAAAATTGACGGGCTAATGAGTGTTAAATTACGTGATTTTCCATGGTTGATATTGATGTGTACTGGTCACGTGAAAAATTATCTTTCGCATGACACGCTTGATGACATTAGTAAAGTTAGGGGTATTTGTGAGCCAACCAAAAAAAGGAGTATTTTTAGCCACAACACAAATGAATAAGATTTTGAATATGCTTTTATGAGTATTAGTCAAAAATATTATATTTATTATGGGTCACCTATTATTATTAATCAATCAAATCCTCAATTATTGTTTTTATGTACAATGGACAATTTTCATAAAAATATTTTTAAAACATATATAAATTTTACAACATAAGTTTAAAACTTAAAAGATAATGATGATACCACCATTTTATTTCTTCCTCTACTCTCTCTTTATATATTTAACTATTTATCAAAAATAATACTGTAAATAGTTTTTTAGGAAAATCTATCTAAGATTGAGATGTACTAAAATATAAGTTCATTAATATGTGCTACTGCATTACCTAAAGAATGAAATATAACTTTAAAATTATGATGAATTTATTTTGGAGACGAGAAATGGACAAATCATGACGGTACATATATATATATATATATATATATATAAGAAAATTTTACTGTCGCCTACGTGGTAGCTTCCCCATCCACAAAACCTTTCCACTTTACAATATTCCCTAAAATACCCTTTTTAAAAAGATCCCCCACACCAGCCGCCTCTTCAACCCAAACAATCTATCGTTTTACTTTCTGTTTTTCCTTCTTCATACAACGTGTCCTTTCACCGGAAACAACCATTCATTCTGCCTTCTCTGAAACAACACGCCTCATCGTCAACGGTTTCAGCCTCTCTATAAAATGGCTAACACCCTTCGTAGCACCCATTCTCTATCACTTCTTTCTGTCTTTATGACTACAAATATAAACAGACTTCTACTTTCTGCCAAAGAAATTTAAACATGGCCTATTCACTTCTTTCTGATTTGGAGGCTACTCGCGATGACTGGCTGATTAGAGTCCGAGTCTGTCGGCAGTGGGATTTTATTAATTTCAAGCGCAGCCCAGAAATGATAAGCCTTGACATGATACTAATTGATGAAAAGGTATGCATAATTCACATCCTTCGCTTCTAATTTTTAATATTGTTAATATGCAGTGTCTTTCACATTAACTTCTCTCAGGGAACTTTGATGCACGCAATAATATGGAAGAACCAACTCAATAAGTTTGGTGATAAGTTGAGTGAAGGATTTGCAGTCATTATTAGAATCTTCAAAGTTTCATCATTAACCGGTGACTACAAACCAGTACAGTCGAACTTTAAAATAACATTTTTGCAGAAAACTGCCATCCAAAAACTACAAGATGATATTGTCTATATCCCTAAGAATGGTTTTCAGTTTATTCAACCAGAAGTTATTCGCTCAAGGATCAACAACAACATTCTACTGTCAGGTATATTTATTACTTTCATTTATGTTAGACGCTGTGTGGACCGTATACAATGAATAGTTCCCCTCCTAACTTGTAGATGTTGTTGGATGCTTATGCGGAATTGGTGATGTAGAAAGTGTGGGTTCAAAATGGCAGAAGCGTGACATACGCATTCTAACAGATCCGTAACATTCTTAACTCATTTACGTTCATATTCATTCATCCCCAAATTGCAGCATCAAAACTCATATTGATTCACTGTGTAATACATTACAATTATCTTTCACAGATGATCTGACTATCAAAGCAAGGATAACTTTGTGGGAGGACCATGGCGAATCATTTTACCCCTATGTATATCCCAACGACTTTGGACCCTACATTGTCATTATCACTGCTAGAACAGTCAAAGAATTAAGAGGTATGTACTTATTCTGAACATGCTGCAACATTATAGTAGTGACATGTATATGCCGTTGTGACAATTTAGTTGTTGGTAATTTCATAACAGGCGAACTAACTTTTGCCATCACCGCTGCAAGTAAAATTTATGTCAATCTTAAAATGGACAACATCACCGCCTTGCTTCATAAATTCTCAAAGAAATCAGTTCATATTGTAACTATTGCGAGTGGAAACTCAAGTATAGTTCCCAATGCACAAGATATGTTTGAAAACTGGATGACTGTTGCAGAATTATTAGATTCTGAATAGAGTCTTCACATAGAGGTTAGTACCATAATAACCCTTCAAACAAAAATCACCTTTCCTTTTATGAACATAATGCCTCTTTTTAATATGTGTACCGATGTTTATATGTGTTAATGTATCTATCTTCATTATTCATATGGTAGGAATGTGTGGTTACACTCCGCCCGCAGATCACTGCAATAGAGAATTTTTTTGATTGGTATTACATTTCCTGTAAGTTCTGCAACAAGAAAGTTGAATCCTAAAATAGTGTCTACACATGCAAGAAGTGCAACAAACAATGTGACTTACCATTGATTAGGTAAGCAACTAATAAACATTCTATTCACACCTTATATTTGAAGGAACACTAACGTTTTATGCTCACACAGGTTTAAAATCCACATTAACGTCAAGGACAATAGTGGGAACACTACTTTGGTCCTGTTTAATGGAGTCGCTAAAAAACTTCTTGATACTTCTGCTCACAAGTTGGTTAATCGTTTGTCCAAAAGCGAGAGTAATATACCGCCCCAGATTCAAAGTCTTTGCGGGATGGAATTGGTCTTCAAACTCAAATTGAGCAGTTTCAATTTGAAAGAAGGGCTGGAAAACTATACAGTCACAAAAGTTTATGTGCCTGATGAAGAATTAGAATTGCAGCACCGCATAAACAAAGAAAAAGGGTTAAGGTATACAGTGTGAATTTTTTGTCAAATTCGAACTCTCTTGATAGTAAATCAGTCATCTTCTATACCATCCATTCAACTTAAACCCTCCTTAATTATTGGAATGGTTTTTACTGTACAAGGTAAATAGAAATTGGACGATTCCACTGAACAAACAGACTTCAAGGCGGAAGGATTAAACACAGACGACTCTAAAGAACTTTATGATTAAAAATACACTTTCATTTCCAAACAAAGAGTTTATTCAAGAAAGTTCAAGAAGCGAAGGAACTTATTTATAGCGGACAGTGAAGAGAGTGATGATGAAACCATAAAAGGACAAAGTAGAGTTATTTTTATGCTAGGGACCTTAACATTATTAGTTTGATCAAAAAGTGAAAACTTTTTTTGTTTAACAGTGGCTATATAGTTGATGTTTGTTATGGTAGGTGATTAGGTTTGGTTTAGTGTCAAATAATCTTTCATTACTAAATGCACATTACTATCAAAGTTGAGTTGTTTATAGATTCCATCTCCCAACACACATTTTGCTCCTCAGGTTATACATAGCTACTTATCAGGTTCACAATTAGTCGCTCAACTTACGGTATTTTGAAAATCCTCACCCACAAACGTATGACACTTTGTTGGGAGTCGTTACCGCATAGTTGAACAATAAAATGCAATAAATACAAAACCATTTTCGGAGAAGTCAAACAAAGATACAAAGTTGTTGCATGAGCAGCTTTCTGTATGTCCCTTGCACCTCTCCAAATCTCATGCTGAATTGCCGCATTCTGCTCTTCACCACCAGACTATTAAGATATTGCATTTGCTATTCTAGCAAAGAAATATAACTCACTTTCGCCGTCATTACGAGGCCCATAAACCTGCATACAAAACTCAAAACACTTACTAAACAGATACAAAACTAGATCCATCTTCGCAGACATTGTTTGTGGTGGCTGTAAATCATCTGAAATGACAATTTCATCATTTCACAATTCATGAGATCTTGTAATACTAGGTACTAAGATTTGATATTTTTCCTCTTTAGCAGGGATTAGTTTCATTGTCGTAATAGATACTCAGTACAGTCGAATGGCTGTAGAGACAAGTCATGTTTGAGAAAATCATTTTCACACTTTGGTTTTGCTAATGAATTAGTCTTGCAAGTGATTTTTTGTTTCTTTATATGTCTCTTGTACATAAAATGTTCAAATTTAAAAAATTGTCTTCCATCAGTCAAATTATGTTTAAGGAAAATAATATCAGCACTATTCTTTGAGAAAACAAAGGACATATTCAGGCATTGAATTAATGATCCGTCACCATATTTTCTATCACAAAGACATGAAAAGACTACACACTTGAGTGATAGCTAAGTTTCATTCTAAGATAAAGCAAAACTCAGCAGAGATTCAACCAACAGACACGTAAAATCTTTTTGCATATCATTTTTAAAAGTCATATTCTTATACAGCCCAAGAACACAGGCATAAGTGCAATTCATGAGGAGCTTTTGATCTATGAAGAAGAACCAAACTAAATTTAAAAAACATCTTAATATCAATTATCTAAAACAATATGTATAAAAATGAACCATGAAGAAATAACTCATTCAGAAGGAGCTGTATTCAGAAGTGTCTCAATCTCATCATGTTTGAAGTTATCTTTCATATTTGCGATGTGAGTATAAAAGGCAGACACTATACAAAATAACCAATTTGACAATTGCAACATATTCCACCACATAATCCCCACAGCATCTCTGTAGTACTAAAAAATATGTGGTTCAACACATAAACCACAATGAAACTAATTAGTTAAAACTAAATAAAAAGAATCAACTACGAAAACAAAACAACATGACAACTGACTGTCTTAATGGACAACTCAACTCTGCCGCACCGAAACATTGTGTCCTTTCGAACTCTTCAAACACACAAATTCCACCCCCAGAACAAAATGGTGTGTCCTTTCATACAGTTAATTTACACTGATTCCTAATGATATAAATTAGGAACATACAATTACTTTCTTCATAACACAACTAAAATCCAACCTTCTGCTACTAAGAAATCTATTGCAACACATTGCTCTATCAAGAGAACCAGATTGGGCAGAAATCTAACCATCAAATCTATTGCACTACACTAAAAAATCAGTACACCATATATTTGCCAGTATTCTTACCAACATAAATTTTTTTAAAAATTCAGAATTACCAGATCATGGGGCCAGACATAATGGATTCGATAACACACAGTATTAAGGCATTTTGTGGGTCTACAGATATTTCCTCCAACATTCAGGAACTACACCAAATTCTGCCTCATTTAGAAAGCAAATACAGGAAGTCCAAAAAAAATATGAAGAGTAATACATTAACAACAACCTATAATACGCGGACAGAGGAATTAGTAAATATAAGAAAATTACTGCCAATGTATTCTCGCCTGAAGAGGAAACTCACATTACATCAGAGGAAATAAAAAGATCAACCACAGAAGCAAGAGGATTTGGTTGTACGTTTTCTCCAAAAAAATGGCAAGCGAGATGAAACTAACTAATATCACAACTATAAAACGGCAACAACAAATACATGGTACGTTCAAATTAACTCGAACATACCACCACACCCGACCCAATTAGTTAAACTGTATACTACTTAATACGTAGGAAATATAAAAACTGAAAAACGTGATAAAACATATCAATTACACATGCACATTATCTGTTACTATGTAACTCCCTTCTCTCACATTATGTGAATGCCTGACACATAAAACAATAAATAGAGAAATATGATTGCTAGAAATTAAATGAACCCATGCTTTACTAATAAAAAACTTTCCAGATGTACAATACTTAGTAACTAACATTTTCAAAACTATTTTATAGGGATCCAACCTAACCATTCCTATGATTCGGTTATAGATGAATGTGAAGACATATCAAATCCAAATCAGTATCACAGAGGCAACAACCCTGTCATTTTCCAGAAAACAAGTACATTTAAAAAACTTATAATTTGATACATTATTACCTATGCACCTAACTCTACATAAGGATAGGAAATTCAATATTTGTGCATATAATACTTAAACTCATTACCTACAATCTTCTATGATAGGTGCATACAAGAAAGGTTGGAATTTATGCCCTCCAACCTACACCTGCTAATATTGCGGAGAAATTCTATGGTATGAAGAATGGAAAATCAAAAGTACAAATACACGACAACCCAAATTTTCAATATGTTGTATGAAAGGTCGTGTTCGTTTACCATTACTGAGCCAACCACCATCCTACCTTCAATATCTTTTGAGCACTACATCCGGACAAATAGGTGTACACTTTAGAAAAAATATCAGGGGATACAACTCCATGTTTGCATTTACATCTATTGGAGGCCGAGTTGACAAATCAATCAGTTGTACAAAAGGTGCTTATGTATTCAGAATCAGTGGACATAATTATCATCATATTGGCTCTCTCTTACCTGAAATTGGGAAAAAAACACAATTTGCACAACTATATATATATGATACGGACAATGAAATAGAAAATCGAATCAACAGTCTAATGCATGAAGAAGTTCAAGTAGACATTATTCAGGGAATATGTGAAATGCTCGATGAGCATAATGTTCTGGTAAAATCATTTTGTATGGCAAGGGATAGATATAGAGAACAACCACAAACACAGTTTCGCCTACGTCTCCTATCAGAATGGATTAACGACGGTGAGCAATACAATATACCTACGGCTTCGGAAGTAGCTGGATTGATCATTAGCGATCTTACAGATGCTAACTTCCAGCGAGATGTTATTGTTGGACACCAAAAAAATGGGCTCCAAAGGATCACCGATTTTCACCCAACTTTCATGTCAATGACTTACCCATTAATAGACCCATACAGTGAAGATGGATATAGACTGCGAATACAATTGGTGTCTCAAAGCCAAAAAACTTACACACGAGAGACCATACAATGAGACAATATTATGGATACCGCGTGCAACAACGACTTAATGAGGAGCGCACACTTATACAGGCTTCCAGGCTACTGCAACAGTACATTTTGGATGGTTACATGGCAATTGAAGAGGAGCGATTTAGATATATACGAAATAACCAACCAAAGCTTCGGCCTGATCTTTTTGGGGTCTTAATGGATGTTGTTGTGCGTGGAGATTCTGATTGTTCACAAGTCGGGAAAACAATTATATTACCTTTGTCACACACGGGTGGACCTCACTACAAGGCACAAAATTATCAAGATGCAATGGCTATATGTAGATGGGCTGGATACCCAAATTTATTTTTTACCTTCACATGTAACCCAAAGT